CTCTCATTGATTTCTCACAACAACCTTGGAGGTAGATGTTACTATCGATCCCATTAAATTAGAAGAGAAAACAGGTTTAGAAAGAACTTTGTTCAGAGTCACCTATAATTACTCAGCACAGTTTGAATTTGAACTTCAGACTAACTCTGTACACCATCTCCCCTAAATGTGAGAAATAGCTGGTATCAAATTTTGGAAAGCAGTTAAAAAATATATTAATAGCATACTTTTAGGAAAAATCCTTTTGTTTTAAAATTTTTTTTTTTTCCTTTTTGTCTTTTTTCGTGACCGGCAACGGATCGCCACCCTCAGTGTCGCGCCCGTACCGGACCGGGACCGGCCACGGGATCGCAACCCGCGGTGTTGCTCCCGCCCCTTGCTCAGCCAGTGAGCAGCCGGTCTGTATGTGGGATCCGAACCCTCGGCGGGAGCGCCACTGCGCTTCCCAAGCGGCGCACTATAGCAGTGCGCCACCGGGCCAGCCCCTTGTTTTAAAATTTTGAAAGAAAAATTTATTTAATTAGGTAAAAGATTGCAGAATCAGGCCCTTATGGTAGCTATGTGAGCTCATAAGTAGTGATTAACGGTTGGTTAGACCAACATGTTGCTTCCTGTTGTCCTTGGTGTTAATGTTTTCACTTGTTAGGAACTAGTAAGTGTGCAAAACATTTTCTATTGTACTATTTCAGCTGCATTTACTGTTAACAGTATTTTCAATGTACTTTATGTGAATAATTTATGAACAGTGTCTATTTTCTACCTTTGCCCTTCTTTTGGAATAAAATTTCATTTGGTAACAATTTTAAGAACAGTGCAGAAACATCATAATATTGACTCTAGAAAAATTATCATTTGGTATTAGTAACGATAAACTACCTTTTGACATTGATGAAACACATTGTCAATGGTATTGTAAACAAAAGTAAAGTCTATCTAATTTTATTTTAAAAATCCCAATTGGGGCCGGCCCGGTGGTGCACTGGAGAGTGCGCCTCTTGGGAGCGCGGCGGCACTCCCGCCGAGGGTTCGGATCCCATGTGGAGGCCAGTTCCCGCTCACTGGTTGAGCACGGTGCGGGTGCAACACCAAGGGTTGCGATCCCATTGCCGGTCCCCGGTACGGGCGCGACACCGAGGGTTGCGATCCCGTTACCGGTCAGTAAAAAAGACAAAAAAGGAAAAAAAAAAAAAATCCCAATTGTAAGGCATAATCTATAGCTTTAAAATGTTTTAAATCATAATGAATAAATTAAACGTGTAAAGAGACTATGCTATGAATATAATATAATACTGAGCAAATAACTAAGTACACATACTCATACAAAAAATATCACCCGATTGAAGTGAATTGTGTCCTTAATTAACTTTTTGTACTGACAAGAGGGGTCTATGAATAGCTATAGCAACTGAAACTAGATCATGTTTTCAATCTCATATGATGTTTTGTTATAAACAAAATGTCTAAAAAACCTGAAAATAAATGCTTACATAATAAATATTATCCTTTACAGATAAATGAAAGGAAATCTTACTACTTAAGGCATTCTCACAAGGTGACTGTAATTCAAAGACAGGTTACAAGCACATATACCAAGTTAAGGAATTTTCTGGTTTTTTGCCCTAGGGGATTTTTAGAATTAATATGCCTTTGAGTATCATCACATCAGTAAGCTTTCTTTACTATATCGTGTTATTTCTATTCAATGAAATAAGGTACTAGGATATCATTGGTCAAAAAATTGCATTAAATGTCAAGAAAATGGTTATCACTGTACTCAGAGTAACTGGAAAATCAGAAAATCAGTTTGATTTAGAGAGGGACCTTCTGGCTGATAGAAATTGGAACCAAGAAGAAATTTAAAATAGAAAATTGTCATTTTTTTGTAGTTTTACATTTTTTATGATCTCAGGGAATTAAAAAA